CTAGTCTTCTTTTTGTCCTTAGTTTTACATATTCCATTATGTTGCATTTAGGTGTGCGATTCTTTTTATTTATTCCATGTGGAGGTTTTTAGTCTTCTTGAATCTATGGTTTGGTGTCTATCATTATTTATATAACATTTTCAGGCATTATCTCTTCACATTTTGCCTCTGACCACTTTCTTTGTCCTTCTCTCTCTATCCTCTTATGTCTTTTTATCTATCATGTTTTACACTCGTTTGCCTCTCTGTGTTGCAGTTCAGATTATTTCTTCTTACCTATCATTTAGCTCACTAATTCTCTCTTTAACTTTGTCTAATCTGCTGGTATATCTGAACAATGATGTTTTAAAATTTCAAGTATTACATCTTTCTTTATAGAAAATCTATTTAGTTCTTTTTCATATCTACTATAGTTTTCTGTTTCCTGAAGATATGTTTAAGCTTGTCCTGAAATATGTTTCTTTATAAACATAATATGCATAATTATTTTATAATGTGTCTGTGATAATGCCAGTATCTAAAATCACTTGAGTCTAATTCTGCTGCTGTTTTTGTTTCTTGCTAATGGTGCCATGTGTGATTCGTTATTTTTTATTCTTTATTGTCCATTAATCTTGAAAAATTGGAAGGGAATTCTTTGTGGTCAAGGATCAAAGTGCCTTTCTTCAAAAAGAATTTAATATTGCCGGGCTCCTGGAGAACCATTTTCAGGGTTTAAGGCTCAGGCCTTTTTGGACTATCTACGTGATGTAGACTTGGGCTGTAATTCTGTTGGACAGCTAATTACATCTTTTTCAGCCCTTCCCAACTGTACACCCACACAACTTTCCTTCTGTTACCTTATCCTGAGTGTGTGGCCCTTTGCAAGTCCCAGTTTAATAGCAGGTCCCCTATCTTTACCTAGAGAAAACCCTGGCCTTTCTGTGTACTTTGTTTTTTTTTTAGCTCTAGCTCAGATTTTTGCTGGTGATTTAGAATCTAGAGTCTTTAAAATATAAGTGAAGCAGAGGACAAGGAAATGTCAAGAAATACAAAGGATCTGAGACTTTACCCTGCCTACAAGGTAATAAGCTAGACCGCCTCAGTTTCGTGAATGCTGGCAGAAGACATGAGAATCCTAGTCTAGAGAAAAAGGACTTTAACAGGGGTCCCCAACCCTCGGGTCACTGACATATCCTGGTCAGTAGCCTGTTAGGAACCAGGCCGCACAGCCAGAGGTGAGCGGCTAGTGAGCAAGTGAAGCTTCGTCTGTATTTGCAGCCGCTCCCCAGTGCTAGCATCACTGCCTCAGCTCCACCTCAGATCATCAGGCATTAGATTCTCATAGGAGCACAGTCCCTGGTGCCAAAAAGGTTGGGGACTGCTGCTTTATAACTCATGGCACAGCAAACAGCATGAGCTTCATGTTTGTTCAGTTCTCCTTGTCTTCCAAGTTTCATGAAGTAATGCAGAGTGACTTAGGTGGATGCTGCACCTGCAGTGGGTTTGTATCATTGCTGAGGGGAACTCTACGTTTAGGGAACCCCAGACTTTTAAAGAGAGCTTCTAGCAAACCTGTCCAACCTTTGCCCTCGAGGGAGACATTATTTTTATTGTTCTGGACAGCAAACCTCTGCCCTTTGCACTGAAGGGAGGTACCAATTTGTTTTCCAAAGCTGTTCACCATACAAACATCCTTGAAAAGATAGTCCAGAACAAAAGTTGTCAGTGCCTCTGCTCAGAAGACTCACAGAAACACCAGACCCGTAGAAAATTGTCTCTCAACGAGGAGGATATATTTCCTTTTTGTCCCACCTTCTCTCTATTTCGAACTTCCCAACATTTTTTTCTAGATGACAAAAAACTAGATGGTTTTATTCTTTTACTTTTGCCATACATATCCCCCTCTCTTTCCACACATCCCCAAGCACTCTCTCATACATTTATTTGGTGTGAAATTTTACTTTTCATCCAGGCTTTTAAGAACAAACAAATGCCATATGTTGAGACATATGTGTACTGAAGCAGTATATTTAAAACTTTAATTGGTATCTTTGTGATTGGCTCTGAATACCGTAGCTAGTCTATTGTCTATCTTTTTTATCTTGAAGGTTTTGCACAGCACCTGGACTATAGGTTAACATTTGTTGAGTCTCGTTCTAGTTAATCCAAACACTTAGTCCTAATATTCAAAAGATAATATTGCTTAGATTTGGATATCTAACTACCACCCCCTAATTCTCTAGAGTAATATTTCTCAAAATATGGTACATATTCCACCACTGGTGATATTCCAGTTCTCTTTAGATCATAACATGGATGAACATTTTAATTTTAATGTGTTAAATTCAAATATATCATCTCTTATTTGAAAGTTAGGGCATTGGCTGGAACAGATACCCATGGCCCTATTAAAACGTAGAGCAGAAAACATTTCTCCCTGGACATACTGGCTTGAGGAAACTGAGGTCCTGAGAGATTAAGTACTCTGCTCCAAAGCCTGTGTGCCAGTCTGGAGTTAGAAGACTTTGGATTCAAACTCTAAAAAGAGGCTTCTTTCTCATGCCACTCTACTAATTCCTTGTTCTCCCTCATCCATTTGTTTATAGTCCAGGGATCCAGTGATTCGGTAGCTAAGGAGTATGCTAATTTTTGCCGGTTACTTGTATAAGAGGAACTTTGGTCAGCTACCCTATGGAGTGAGAGGAAATCAAGGTCTCGTAGCCCCTAATTTAACCAGAGCAGCTCCATAAAAATCCTTTTCTTTCTCTTGTTCTAAAATCTCCTAAGAGGAGTTCTGTGTTTGGAGCCATAGTATACTAGCAGGTTCTACATCTCTAATATCTAAGAACTGCACTGTTCAATATGGTAGCCACTAGTCACAGTGGGATAGATTTTAATTTAAATAACTTAAAATTAAACTAAAAATCAGTCCCTCAGTCACACTAGCCTTTTCAAATGCTTGATATTCACTGTGACTAGTGACTACCATGTTGGATGGTACAGATCATAGAACTTTTACATCACTGCTGAAAGCTCTGTTAGTGCTGACAAGTCCTGGGTGGAGGCAGTCATCTGTATTTCATACTCAGGTTAGAATTGGAGGACTAGCTCTGTTCTTTGAGAGAGATCTCAGGATTATATTATCAAGTTTGAGAGTGGGAGTGGGATGACACCAGGCTTTGGGACCCTGAGTAATGAGCATTTTGTGAGGTTAGAACAGTGATAAGGGGGAAGGACTACCTAAAACAAAATCTGATGCCTTTTCTTCTTTTCTACCTGCCAGACCCAAAGTCTGCACCAGACTAAAAGGATTGCTGGAAACCCTGGAGGAATGATTGTTTTTTTGTTTTGTTTTGTTTTGTTTAGAAATGTAAATTAATCCCATCAAGGCTCTCCCTACTAGTCGAATGACTGGCTTAATTTGGGGTCTGAAAGGTAAGGGAGGGGGATTTCATTTATTAACTGCATATAATTGTAATTCTAGAGCTGGACTGTTAAGATTTGTGAATTCTGTTTATTTTTACTCTTTAATTTCTGTATCCCCATATTGAGGTACTGTCAAAGAGAAACAGAGCTGGGCATTTGTTAAGGGCAGCAGGACAGATTTCATTCAGGCTAATGCATGAAAGGAGACTCCAGCATAAATTGAGTTCAACTCTGCTAAAACAAAAGGTGGGAGTCTTTTAAAACACTGCAGTGTGCTAAAGGAAAAGTGCTAAAGATGTTAGGTGGGCAGGTTGGTCATTGTGATTAAGCCATCTGTGTTTGCTAATTGGTGGTTATTAAAGTTAGACTCCTACTCTCCCACTGAGACTAGAAGATAAGGGCACTATTCTTCTTAATGATTGTATTTCAAGGGATGGCTCCCAAGTCCTTGTGAAAGAAATTTCTGAGTTGTGGAATAATTACATCCTAAGGGTCAGAGAAAGGATTTACAATTGCAAGTTTTCTAAAGTAAATGCTCCAAGAAAAGTGAGGTTAGGGGCCTGTAGTCAGGTTTTGGCTAGAACAAATAGCATTAAGCTTTCTTTCTCAACAGGCATTTTAAGGGGGCTGGGGTCATCCTGGGGACATGGCCTTGAACTGATAGAAGCTGTGCTAGAGTTTGGTCATGTTCTTGGGAGTAGGGGGAGGTTGGATGGAGTTGTTTGTGCTGAGAATTTACATTTCTCAGTATCTGGACAAAATTTTATATACAAAATTTCATGACTTGGGCATTTTGGGGAATGAGAGACTGGAATTTAATCCAGTCTTGGGAAGAGGCAAAGAACCTTCAATGAAAAGGAATAAAGCATTGTTTTGGGGGCCTAAAGCAAATAGGGGAGCAGTCAGGAAGGTGACTTTCGGGACTGGAGAAGCAACTATGGATTTTATTTTGTGATTCAAGTCCAAAAATGAATGGTATGAATCAGTAGTCCAGAGGAAGGCAAGAGCTTCCTAGAATTGAGCTCAGCTTTGAGGGGTGATAGGTGGGCTTTTCTTGGTATTTCCATGAAACTCCATCTAAATTCCACAGAAATAAATTACAATTTTCATGGTTCAGTTATTTGCCTGAAAGATTTGATTTTTCTTTAAAGATACTACCCAAAGGTGATATTTCTCTTACTTTTTGACTCTTGATTGGTTTTCAACCAGTTTTCTTCAGAATAACATGTAAAGGCCCTCTATGTTTTTGCAGTCAATTCCTCTGCCAGAAATGCCTTCCAACCCCCTTCCCCATATATACTTTCAGGGAATTGTTTATCCTTCAAGACCCAGCTGAAGTAGCACCCTCTCTTTGTTCCCAAAGCATAGTACTTTCTACTTTTCCTCTTATGTTATAGCTCTTATTTCTGTTTGTTATAATCAGTTTGTAGTTTCAACTCCCTAGTCTCTGGCCCATAGAAGATACCTAACATTTGGTTAATAGGTGTGGTTAAATAAGCTCTGAAATGTGTTTTCCACTGTTAAGAACTCAGGTATCTTATGTGCATAGGTATAATATATATTTTGTTAATTGGATTTTTATTTGTTCTTAGATGTCATTAAGAGGATCTGCGCCAGTGACAATTGTACCTCTTCCTGGAGAGCAAGTACAGGTTCAGGGGGTCATCCAGACAGCTCAGTCTTCTGTAATTCACCCACCACACGTGCAAACGGTACAGAAATTCAAAGACTTAGTGGTTGAGAGAGGGGAATTTTGTACCCTGAGTCTTTGGACACATTGCAGTTGCTGTAGTTAAGATATTATAGATCAAGATAATAAAATTGTCATGGAAATTAGACTATAGAACAAATGAGGCAAATGGAAAACTTTTAGAATTTCTAGTTTCATGCATATACTGCCCAGTGAAAACAGAAGGCAATTTGGGAGGAAATTATTGCTTAGAACTTATGGAAAGGATTTTCTTAAGAGAAAGCACCTTTTTTATCCCAGTGGTATCTATCCTTCATGAAAAAGAGAATTCTGAAGCAAGGGTGATGATGTGAGTATCTTAGCAAAGTAAGAAAGTACCTTCCTTATGCTTTATGGAGGTCAAATAAAAGAGAGTTCTCTCATAGTAAAACAGAGTTCTTATTTATATCTTATCTACCTTCATATTAACTCCTGACAATGCTAGGAAGGAAAGAGCCATGCTGGGTTCCTTTTCTTCCTATTCTTTTTCCTCATTTTATCTTCTGGCTCCTGTGAATCTCATAATGCCTTTGGTCATCTCTCATTTTTAGAAGCAGCTATCCTAGAAGAAAAGCTGTGTACCTCACTTTTCCTCCTGAATATATACCATCTGGCAGTGTTGTCAGCTCCAGAGCTGCATCTTTATGTTGTTTTCCTATATGAAAGGTGGCTGCTGCATGGATTTTTTAGTTTTTGTATGAAGATTTTATTCTGATTTACTAGTGCTGTCATTAAAGAGAAATACTTGATCTTAGTTATAAGTAATCTCTTAGTTTTATAAATTATTTTCTTAGAGTTCAGTTGGAGGCTTTAGAATAAACTTAGGGACAGTGAAAACAGTGGGAGGTTTAGATTAGAAATGTTATATTCATGATGCTCAAGGAAACAACAGATTTTTCTTAATTATTACTGTTATTATCCATTACTGTTATTTCTTAATTATTTTAGGTTGCAATTGTTTCTATCAAAAGTTTTAATGTAAGATATAAGAAGTTGTACACTAGAACTTGTTTTTAAAGGACATTATAGACTATAAAACAAGCTTCTCTGGAAATTTAAGATCTAAGCCTAAATAATTTAGCTTTCTATAGATAGTAATAATAATGTAGAGAATTGATTTGTGTCCTTTCTTGAAGCCTACTCAGATTATTTTATTTTTTAAATAAAGATGAAGTCAGGTGTCACAATGCAACTTTGGACACATGTTGGGCAATGTAATACATTTTAAAAATTAAAAATAACTTGTTTTCTCAATCGTAAGATATTGTAACAAAACTTGCATATGGTTATTGTGTTGACATAGTTTTAAAGGGTTTATTAATAGTTAACATTTAATTTGTGCTTGCTGTGTGCCATGTACTAATTTGCTTTACCTGTATTAACTCATTTAACTGTGAAGTGAGAGAAAATTAGAGATTTTTAAATTGCATATGTTTATACCTGCCTTTGCCAGTGACCTCTACCTTGCTAAATCTAATGGTCTGTTCTCAGTCCTTGTTTTACTTCACCTGTTAGCTCCATTTGGTATGGTAGATCATTCTTTTCTCAATGCACAGTCTTCCCTAGTTTTCCAAGGACACCTCACTCATTTGGCATTCTTCCTGCCTCACTGGTGGCTTGTTCTTGGTTTCATTTGCTGGTTCCCCTCTTCCCAGCCTCAATGTTAGAGTGTTCCTGGGTTTTGTTCTTGGTCCTCATCTAGTCTTAATGTCTTTAAGGACTATCTAAAGTGCTGTGACTCCCAAATTTATATGTAGCCCAAACTTTTTTTCTGACTCATAGGCTTGCGTATTCAGCAGTCTCTTCAATGTCATTATCTAATATTAGATATTAGTTGGATATCTAATAGCATTTCAAAGTTAGCATGTCCAAAATCCAAATCTGATAACAATGATTAAAAAAAAAACCTGAGTAATGTGCATCAGTATAGAAATAGGGTGGAGATCAGAGATTGGTCTTTACAACTCTAGTGAAATAGTATTCCTTTATTTTGGGGATAGATTTTCTTAGTTTTGAGCCTGCTGTACTGAATGTTCCTTTAATTAGTTTGGGCTCCTGAAATAAACTCTTCTTTTTCCATTTCCTTTTGTTTCTTTCTATTAGACCTTAGATTTAATGACAAGTGAATTTGGGTGGTAGGAGATAGATCCTTTTAAATTCTTTTTCCACCTGCATTGTTTATCATAGTAAAACCAGTTCTGTTTTTTAGGTATCATCTTTATCAGAAAGTGAGGAGTCTCAGGACTCATCTGATAGTATAGGCTCGTCACAGAAAGCCCACGGGATCCTAGCACGGCGCCCATCTTATAGGTGAGTACTCTTGTATCAAACCCTGCATGTGCTATAATATCAAATGATTTCAAATGGTGCTATGGAAAAGCAAAGTATATAAAGAGGGAGCATGTGTTTGTATAGGAAGGGAATTATTAAGAGAAATAGATTTGAGCCAGATTATGAAGGGTCCGAGTAGCTATACCAAAGAGAAATTTAGACTTATCTTTTGGGAAAGTATTAGATATCCACATTTACTTTTAGGTAGTTAACTTTAGTAGCAGTACAAAAGGACTGTAGATTTTATTAATTGAATTACTTTGTGTTCCCTTTCTTAACTTTCTAACTCTTGGCCTTTGTTACTTGTGTATCCCTTTCCTGAAACACATTGTTCTACATTCTGCATAACTTCTGCATATACCTGAGGCCTCATTTCTGCCTGGAAGCCTTCTTTGATTGCTTTCTCTCCAACTCCCCCAAGACCAAGTTTAGGCTTTCTTCTCTGGCATCCTTTGACTGACCCTTGTTACAGTACTTATCTTCATCTTGTTGGAATTCCAGTTTACGGGCATGGCCCATCTATTATTATTTTTGTGCGTGTGATCCCGGGGCCTAGCAAAGTTACCATACAAGAGTAGTATCAATAATTACTTGCTGAATGATGATCTGGAAGTAGTACAACTGAGTGACAGAAAGCTGTTGAAATAATCTGGATGATTTCATATGCGTAGTAGGATAGCTTTGGAGTAGGTAGATTGAGACATTTCTGTGGTAGAATTGACAAATCTGGTGACTAGATGGTAGGAGGAAAAGGAGACCAAAAAAAAGGGCGAAACTCTGTCTTTGAAATACATAAACAAATGCAGTAAGATTTTAGATATTACGAGAACTGTGTATATGGCATAGTCATTCCTGCCTGGTGGAAAGAGTAGGAAAGACTTCATAAAAGATGTGATCACATCACCACCAGTCTGATAAATTTTGT